AGAAGGGTATTCAATATCTGATGTTCTAAAGGGATGGGTGCACACAGAGTGGACTGTTCTGTTGTATATCAAACATCAGAGATCAAATGAAGATGGATGGGGAAGTTGATATATTTCAAACAGCACGGCAGTTGAAAAGGCGACGACCTGAGGCGCTGGAAGATGTGGTAAGTTACATGTACACGAATCATTCAATGAAAGAATAAAAGTCTATTGCGCAAATAATATCAATATGTTTTACTTATGTTATTTTGTTCTTTTTGTTATATTGAAAAATATAAGATAAGTTTCGATTCCAAATAAAACTTCCATTTCTATTTACTTTGTTTTCTTTTACCATAGAAACAATACCGGTACTGTTACAAGATCCTGGACCAATATATTGATTCAACTGATCTGTATGTCAACTGAAGTCGCAAGAAAAAGCGCAGTCAGTATTTTGATATACATGGTTTTACGACATTTACGTTAATGTACACGTTAAATGATGCACGAACGGAAGTAGAACAATTGCTCATTAATTCCATCACCATTTACAATAATGGTCCGCCATCATCTTACTACGTGGCCTGACTTCCACTGCTGTAAATACAAGATACAAGGACTTTTATTTAGAGTCATGTTTTTGAACAATGAAATATTGATTATGTAGAGCAATTATCAGGACTATGAATAACAAAACAATTATATATTGTAATCACTAAACTAAAACATACATAACAGATAACTTCACAAACAATGCTAGCTAAATAAAGATCATGCGACAAAATAGCCCATGCAGCATATATAAATGATACATAAAAGACCAGAAAGTTCATTATACATATATGCCTTAGAAACAAATATAAACAGACAGCAGAAGTGGCAGACAGTGAGAGAACACGGCACAAAAGCATAGCATCCATGTGTTTGAGAAAAAAAAAACATAAAAAGCATAAACCCTTGGTTCATGGTTGTGACCTTATTGGTTAGGTAAGGGTCTCAAGCAGAGGTTGTTTTATATTCAATGTGTTACGCAAGTACTAACGTGCGAAATAAATATATTGACAACGGTAGCATAATTAACGTCAAATCGCAAACTCAATAGCATTGATGATATAATAATTCGTTTGACAGCAGTGAAGGAACTGAATGATAATCTGTAATTGTTGTATATATTTTGTATATTCACTAGCAATAACTTGTCATATGTGTAATTGAATCACTCGATAATATAAGAAAAACGTCATTTTTCAAAGAATTCTTACATTATCAACACTTGGAGCAAATCGCAAAGTGGATCTCGATCGTGAACCAGTTCCGTAGCTAATTAAGTTGCCATGCTGTCGAGTTGTTTTGCCATTCGTTTACGTACTTTATATTTTACTAGAGATATAATTGAGCTCAGCACTGTTGTTGAATGTCATTAATTATTTCAGTGTGTATATCAGGGATCAGACTACTTGATTTTGGATTATCCATTTGGTAGAGCTAAAGATCATTTCTTTCTAAACAGGCAGTATATTGCAATTAACATTTACCAAGATTGCATAGAAATTATTCATGATTTTCTCGCGGTTTATTGAACAGTTAGCAGTAACTAAGTCTTTATCAGAAGTTAAATTATGTTACATATCAAGTGAAATGAAAATATTAACAATACGACATTAATACACATATATTTACTTTTCAACAAATATCTAATATTTGAATAGTTATGCTGAATGAAAAAAATGAACATGTTTGCTATTTCATTTTGTGTTTACCTATGTTTGAAAATGCACGATATATGCTTTAATTAATGTCTGAAAATATTAAGTTTGTTTGCTTAACATGCCGTTATAGAATTTAACTGTAAGAGGGACGATGATTTTAGATGTTTAAGTACAAATAAGTTGCCTCTCATGCTTGATTTGAACATACATGTCATAAAATTATTTTTGCAATGTTTTCGCTCCGAATCATGTCAGTTCAGAGAGAAACGGACAAGCAATGCAGACCAAAGAGACAACTACATCTATTGTTAACAAATTATGCAGTTAATTAGTATATATTGTTATTCATATTAAAGAGCTATTATATTTTGTACTTAATGCTTCATTAGCAATAGGTCAATTTGATATACATATTATATGTTTTATATTTTTGATCAATATATTAATAACAAATGCTACTTATAATAAAGCTTGAAATATTTTGTTTTCGTCATAGTTATGATTGGCAACATTTGATAGTCTGAAATTCTGGCGTCTGCAATCGACGCCGTATTGATGTTTATGAAGAAGTTAATCTCTCATAGGTCCAAATGTTTGTCTAAACTTACAGAAGATTCAACATGTATCAATTGACCTTTATATGAAATCAACATTATTCACCTAACACTAAATATAGTGATGTTTATTTTCATACATTTATATCACGGCGTTTAGCCGTAGGCTTTGTCATGACGCTTACTAGATGTCCATCGTTTTCACTGCTACCGTGTTCTTTGCGTGGAGTTTAATATCATAAATGGGTGTTAAAAACTTAAACAGTACAATATAATTCACAGTGATTTGTCAACACAGTTACTTTCTTCAACATTTAACTAATATTTAGCATCAGTCTTTACTGAACTTTCAATACGACACCTAGTTGACTGGTGTGTTTCTGGTTTCAGCATCAATAATTGAAATAATAGTTCCTACACTTCTTGACAAGATTCCTTCCTGCCATGATTTATCGCCGTCCTCCCGTAACCTGGGGCTCATATGCCATTCTGAGTGCACCTTAATCATAAGCTACATGTTTCCTCTGTATGAAAAAAATGACGTCGTTAAATGGAGAGTGCGAATATAATCCTTTACGCTAACAAGAGTTGTGTCCCTTTATTAACAGCAATGTGAAATATTATGTAAATGAAATATATTAATAAAAATATTCTTGCTAAAAATGATCAGTTTGTATTGAAATTCTAGGAATGCAGAAATATATGAAATATTATAATTCGTATCTAGATTAGGATACTGCATTACCATATAATTGATAAAACTGCATTCCTGATATTAAAAGATTTCTTCAGAATCCAAATCGCATGCGGATTTAGTACAAGTTTCATGATCCTGAAGATATAATACCTCATTTTCTATCATTTTGTACAGAACTGCATATGTAATGAAATGTTATCTTGTTAGTAGGCTACTTTAATATGATTCAATAACTCTTGTCTGTAAGACCTGCCTACAGACATATTACACAGCAAGTAGAAATTAATCTGTGTAAACACACTACTTTCTGTATTGTGTTGATAATCATAGGTTCTCAGTATGCTACACTATACAACTAAGTAACGAGGCGAACAGGAATCAAGCTCATTTCCTGATTAGTCGTTGCGCGTACAATCCACCACCATTTGATATCCTGTTTATATATCATATATATATGAGGAACTCTGGATAGAAAAAAATGGCCGTACGTTCTTCTTGGTTGGCATTTTGTTGCATCCTATCAACGTTGAATATATCCGATTCCTCAGGTAGTATTAAACATAGTATTTCACAAATAATTTGGTAAGAAATATAAACCAACGTGAGTTATGCACAATATTAGAACGGAAACCATTTTGCTGATAGCTACAAATGTACTGATATTCGCGATGTATAAATTGTTGGCGCACCATCAAATGTTGTGATAAAATATTTTGAGAGGGATAGTCTAATATATACGGTTACGCAAATAATGACATACACTGTGAATGTGCGATCTTGATTTATTGATCAATGTATTTGCAGTATTGGACTATTGCCGATACTAGAATAACAGTCATTAGTAATTCAGTTTGTGTGACAGATAAATAGAAAGTCTCATGACAATTAATCTCTAACCAAAATTACTGACGCGAGTAAGTTCAAATCTAGGATTACCGAAATTTAAGGAGAAAAAATATATGTATGCCTGTCACCATAAACAATATGTATTAAACGATTATAGGACAAACTTAACTTTTGAGTTTTTCATAAACGTATAAATGACACACAAAAATCTTTATAATCTGATCTTTTTTATACACTTTTTTGTAATAAAATACGGAGGAACGCAGCTCTCGTTGTCACTGCACTTATGGATTAATACTTTTATACTTTTCATTTGTGATTTAAGAAACTGACACATTAAAACTGAGAGCACAAAAATGACATGTTTGAGACATTTTTTTCTTTTAAATCAACAACGAACTGAAGTGTGAGTTTTAGAATAGAAAACTTAATAAGTTCATCTCGATGTTATTTAAAGACATTTTTCATTCAAAGAAAGAAGGATTGCAAACGCCAGAATGGACGGTAGCAAAGTAATCGGGTAATAAACGCATGAACATAAGGGTAATGGAATATTACATAGTTCTGTTCCATTGTCAGCAATATGTCAACGCGAGTAAGAATCAGGATCTTTATTACGAAGCTTGCCGAGAGTGCTTGGTTGAGATAGCTCTGTACACGCAAAATATCCATTTTTGATTCGTTTCTTCACCTACTTAGAATTGCAAGTTGTTGTGAAACATATTCTCGCACCATCAGCAATGTTTCATGTAATGTTTGTCGAAATTGATGAAGTTTTCAATTACGCTGCATAAAAAACAATAGATAGAGATTTTACCCTTAGCAACCCCGGGATCATCCCGTGAAGTATGTGAGAAAAACATCATCCGAACTGTATGTTTTTAAAACGATCCATTATGGCTATGCAAGATTTTTAAGAAAGTACTCAGGTTCGGAAATTGACAGCACTGTTATTTGTTTGAACATTGCTTTGTTGATTGATTTGAATGTGCGAAATGAAAATCTTACTGTTGACATTTATGGGCATATGCTTACCAATAGGATAAGAGCAAAATCGATGAAGTGCTTTGTATCTACCATTTTCAAATTTCATCTGATCACAAGGGAAGACGACCTAAATTTGCTTGCATTAGTTGAATTATTCCTTCGCTTATGAAAGTTTATTAGCTGATAATACACAACTTAGCTTGGTAAAGTTACATCGTACCGATGCCATACAATGGTAAGTATAAAGGGATAACGATAAGCATATAGCATATATCAAGAGAACAGTAAAAAAAACGGTGATGGCGTTATCCGCTTTTCATGTTGTCACTGTTGTTTCTCTGCTTGTTTGTCTTTTTTGTAATTTGCATCAATTAACTTATTCCTCAAGATCCAGGGCAAACCTTATAGCTAGATTATAAGAAAACAAATTTGCCAAAATTTCGAACAATTGCTCTCTTTTAAAACACAAATATGCAATTACATTATACATTTAATAGAAGGAAGCACGACTGGACTTGGCTGTTCATTTATCCCTTAGCCATGAACAAATAATGTCAGAACCTTATAAATACAGCTGATTGACAGAATAATAGCTATGGTAATGAGATGGTTTGCTGGTTGAAATTCTACACTTTGCTCATCCTTGTTCTCTTGTTATCTTTTGTTCTTTATATTTTCATTAAAATTTTCTGTAAAAACGGAAGTTATGACATGTTCTCATCAACAATGTTTACAAAGTTTACAAAGATAAGAGAGAAGCACCTGCATGAAGTATAATATGTAAAAGTCACTGTGTAATCTTATCTCCTGATAATAACGCAGAATTTGAACATGTTACTACACGATGATTTATGACAGAGTGACTTAACATAAACACAACGCTATGAGTATGACATGCTGTGGACAAATGTCTTAAGAACACGTTCGAACAAATGTTATACTGTCAGCCTTGTCTCTAGTAATCAAAAAAGTGTAACTATATTGTTCATAATATAAAGATAGAAATACCTAAAGTATCGAATACTTCTTTAAACAATGTTCATTTACATTTTGAGATAACATAATTATTATTTTTTTATTCACAGTGAATACATGTCGTGAGCCGTCTGTGAAGACTACATATCAAAGTTCATCGCTGAATGCAGGTACAGGCAGTAGTAGAGCTGTAGACGGTTGTACTAATCAGAGATATAGTTCTGGATGCTGTATGCACACATCTGTTAATGGACAAGTGGAAGCATGGTGGCTGGTAGATTTTGCGGAACAGATCGTAGTAGAGAGTATCCAAATTTACTACAGAGGTGAGTTCATACAAAACGGATCTGCAGGTTCTCCACAGTGCATCCTCAAACTACATGGATTAAAAAAAAGATATCCGATACTGACGGTCGGGGTATAAGGTTATGTAATTGACTCATAAGTTATGAATATGAATATTAGTGAATCTGTTTGAATGATGAACTTTTGAATATCAATACTAGATAGCGAAAGTGCCGTTATCAACATACCACTAAAACATTATGTCCGTTATTACCGAATGTAGACAATATGTGTACACCTACCAATACCAGATTGCGGCATCATTTGTCATTTTTAATTTGTTATTTGTTTCCAAGTTCCTCTACCATGGCCATCTAACAAAAAAAAATCATATTTTCAAGAAACAAATGAAATATAGATACATGACCTTTTTACGTTCGCATTGACTGTTTTTATTATTATTATTCAGATGAGGGTGTTTCACAACAGCAATCACGATTCGGTGGCTATCAAATATTTATGACAAATACGACGTCTGAAAATTTGGATATATCCCCCTGTTATCAAGACACGACATCTTCTCGTAGTGCGGTGGATTTGACTCCAACGATTACAGCATGTACAGGAAGTACCCGATATCTATTCATTTACCTGGACCGTAATTCTCTCACCTATAATTGGTATTCGTCGTCAGCTATCATGGAATTATGTGAAGTCTTAGTATATGGTGAGTAGTATACGTATGGCCATTTATTGAAATGGTTTTGCAAGCTTCCTCGTTATATCAACTATATGGTCGAAGTAAAAACAAAATCTGCCTATGTTGTATATTTCAACATGTTTCTATATCATCATTATGTTATAAATCACTTCGTTGGTTGTCGGGTACAGAGTCTTTTTTAATCGGTTTAGAGAGAAAAAACATTGATTTTCAGAAGAATCTTGTTGTCTTGTGAACGCCAGTCGTCTCTCATTTGTATTTTGATATCATTTTACCGATAAGAATGTACGTGTAAGATCAAAAATACCGTCTTCTTGCATTTCTCATATCTGGAGTGTTTTCATAAGGTATTGTATACTCGAAATTTGTACACTTAAAGTGTATTGTATCTTGATTGAATGCTAGCATTATGCTAACGTAAACAAACACAGACATGATAATGAGATTATATCTAGATCTCAATGAGCTAACTTGGTTAAAGAGTCATCCTATTGATTTTTGTTTGTTTGGTTTTTTTTTTTTTTTTTTTGCAACTGTTACAATCTGTTGTTCTGTTGAAACTGTATCAACGCATTATTTCGTTGAAACAGTATAAACCTATTGTTTTTGTTTAAACTGTTACAATCTGTTGATTTGTTGAAATTGTATCAACGTATTATTTCGTTGAAACTGCATCAATCTATAGTTTTGTTGAAACTGGTACAATCTGTTGTTCTGTTGAAACTGTATCAATCTATTGTTTTGGTGAAACTGCATCAGTCTATCATTTTGTAGAAAAAGTATCAACATATTGTTTTGTTGAAACTTCTACAATATGTTGTCCTATGGAAACTGTACCAACGTATTATTTTGTTAAATCTTTATCATCCTATTGTTTCTTGAAACTGCATCAGTCTGTTGTTTTGTTGAAACTTCTACAATTTGGTGTTTTGTTGAAACTGCATCAATCTATTGTTTTGTTGTAACTGCTACAATCTGGTGTTTTGTTGAAAATTCTACAATCTGTTATTTTGTTTAGGCTGTCCGGTGGGGAAATTTGGGAGTGGTAATTGTGATCTGAACTGTGATAGTTCATGTATCCTCAACCGGTGTGACCCAACGAATGGTGTATGTACATGTAAGTTATCATAAAGTACTAATAATTGTTCGTATTAAAGCAATAAAATTTAAAAGGCTTGTACCTGCATTTATGATAATAACTGTAAATGTGGACGATATTAACTGAGAGTTAAAATGCTAAACATAAATTAAAGGAAAATAAAAATAATCAACAAATGGTCGTTGTCTAAACGGAATCTTTTTCAACTTTTAAGACTGCGGTGATGGATCCTATAAATCTGGACTTACCTGTAGCCCCTGTCCTTCAAACTGTATCGGCTCCACGTGTAACGTAGAAACGGGTGAATGCACAGGTTAGAAGCATTTCTACATTATCATTAAAATAAATAAACAATATATGACACATCTGCTGTACAAATATAATGTCGAACTCATATTTCTTGGTGCTCTTTGTCTACCTTGCTTTTATTCTAGCTCTTAGTGAGAATGTTTGTGTCAACATTATTTTCGAATATTCTTGTGGTAGTAAATGGTAAGAATGGTTATTTGATAACTATAATCATCAGATGAGTTTGAATACTTATTTATAAAGAAATAAAGTACTGACGTGATATATGTTTAAGAGATGAAAATGGATAATATGAAACAAAATATGTAAAAAAAAAAAAAGTGAACAGGCCAGCACAAGTAGATTTTAACAAGAAATACTGGCCTGTACTAAATCGTTAAATAAATATTATCTTTCCTGTCTATTCAGCTTGTCTAGCTGGTTATCACGGCACATTGTGTGACCAGCTGTGCCCGTCAGGATGCAAAGACAACATATGTGATCAAATGACTGGACAGTGTCATGGTGAGTGTTTCCGACAAAAAAATAAAAAGAAAAAAACACATAGGCTAGTGTCCATTCTGTTTTTAAAGATAGCACATGGAAATTTAATATTGCTATACCAATTCAAGGCCAGAAGTTATATAAGAAAAATGAGTAACTCAGTCTCCTTTTTTTCATAGATTTATTAATGAAATTTAACATTTGACAAGATGCGTCGTCGTAGTGGAAAACAATGTAAAATGCTCTTTTGATAAAAGCAAACAAGTAAAGATCTGTAATATTGATATGAAATGTTTCGCTTGATCAGATTGCAATGACGGTTACTTCGGTCCTTACTGCTACCCTTGCTCTGCTGGATGTAGCATATCTGTTTGTGATAAAACGTCAGGGAACTGCAGCCGTGAGTATTCAGCAGACGAGGAATCATTTAAAGCAATGTTGTTCCCATATGTTTTGATGGTATATGATCATAAAACGGATTATTAATCTTTTCTGTCTTGATTTGTTAAGTATGGACTACGTCAAGATTTTGAATTAATGATCTTTACTTAGATTTGTTACCTAAGGAAAACAAATGTCTAATATAGACAATTGAACATCTGTTTCGTTGGTTACATGTGAAATACGACGAACTCTTTTGATAATATGTTTTTACTTTGTCTCAAAACAGCATGTTTCAATGGTTTCTTTGGGAGTACTTGTAACCAGACATGTTCAGTCAACTGTCAAAACAGCGTATGCGGACAGCTTGCTGGGGAATGCGAAGGTGCGTGCTAATTTAACTGTACCCATGTAATTCAAAACTCTATAATAAACTGGACGTATTTGATGTTCGTTAGTTTTCCTGTTGGTGCCGTTTCTGTATACCTTATTCTCATTTCAGAACTTGACATTGCTTATTAGGATTGACAAATACTTACATGGCGGGTGTCATCAATGAAGCAGAAAACGCTTAGTCTTCCAGAACATTTGGTCTTATTTTCTTTTGCATTCTTTTTTTTCATTGTTTGCCCTAGTTTTATTAAATTTGTGATTATGTTAATGCTGGCATATTGGTATTTTCTTCATAGCCTAATGTATTGATCGTCAAGAGACCAATAACATTGCGGTGCTAAATTTGAGACAATCTTGTATTTGCAGCATGCGTTCCTGGTTTTTATAGCAGTACATGTGATCAATTTTGTCCGAGTAATTGTAAAGACAACACTTGTAATCAGCTCGACGGATCATGTATAGGTATGTTATATATTGATTACAAACTATAACATAATCTTATATGGTATGACAGTATTCTTTATCTAATATTTTGTGGAATACAGATGTAGCCTTTGTTGTATGATTTATTTCCACAAAGGTTAACTTTAGAAACGACCGTAATTATACCGAAGTAAACGATTTATTGTTATTCTTGCATGTATCTAATGCAATTAAGATGAGAAAAACTTCTAAACGAAATGTTATGTCACTTGGAGTAGTCCATACATTGGTATAGGTAACCAACACTAGACTTTGATTAATTTGGTTATCAAAAGCTAAATAAATGCTGTGTTGTCCAAAAGCCCGAATTTAAATCAAGGCAATCTTATGTTACAGCGTGTGTTCCTGGTTATTATGGCAGTTCATGTGATCTGTCGTGTCCATCGAATTGCAAAGATAACACTTGTATCCAGCTTGACGGATTATGCACAGGTATTTAATTTGATTATCAATATCGACAATCAAATGAATAGATAAATCTGAAGAACATACATTTCAAATAACTGCTTTAAAGATCAAGATTGTTGAATATTAGTATATAGATGGTTTATTTCAATCGAGATAAAAAAAAAGCATAAAGATTTATCATCATATTAAGCAATTACGTGTAGGTTGTTGGAAAAAAAAAATTATGATTAAATGGGGTCATTTTCAGAATTTTTATTCATTGTCTTCCTTTCAAGTTAATCAAATGAATATTGGATATAAATATACAAAATGTTATTGTTCCAGAATGTAACTCTGGTTACTATGGCTCTAGCTGCAACCAGATATGTCCCGTCAATTGTAAAAGTACAATTTGCAACAGAAGCAGTGGAGAATGTACAGGTACATGTAATTATTTAAACTGGATACCAAAACATTCATCTATCACATTTTTTTTAATTTCATAAACATAATGCATTCGAATGATTGACAATTGAGTAAAATTCAAAATATCTGTGTTATTGACAAGGTACAACACTAACAAATAGAGGGAAAAATTAGTAAACTATCAGCAACAAATTACTATACTTTACTCTTTATCTAGATTGCAATGATGGAACTCATGGCACAATGTGTGATCAAAACTGCCCAGTCCAATGCAAAGGCGGAATATGCAATCAACTTACTGGCTACTGTAACGGTTGGTGAAATCAGTTTCACTTCTGAACAATCAGAGGGAGAAGGGGGGATCATCCTGTTATTGAAACCTATTACTATAGAATTATTGTTGATACAGCTTGATTTAGTTATCGATCAGTATGTAAGTGAAACTGTTTAGGGTTAATGGCGAATGGAATGTCAAACCAAAGATGATGTTTTTGTAGTTTACTAAAGCTGCTTATCGCGGCTTCTGTTTAATGAAAAAACGATAACGTTCCAACTATTACATCCATATTCCAATGTTCACAATTGCATTTATCTCCAAACAAGGGACATATGATGCTTAACTTACAGAATGTGAAGCGGGGGTATTTGGGGTGCTCTGTGACAATTCCTGTTCCGCGCTTTGTAGCAGTGATGGTTGCAGTCAAGAAACGGGATTTTGTAAAGGTATAGTTTCATTCATAATTAGTCTTTTGGAAACTTTAAAGGGTTTTTCGATGGAAAGATAAAAAATACAAATTTAAGTTTGTTTATACCCCCTTTACTGAATACCATATTCCAATGATTTCAAAAATTGCCTTATTACATAACTAATGAAGGAAATCTTATCTTATCGAACTTGGCAAACACACTTATTACAATGTTATCTAGGCAGCTGTATTTAACTCTTAGCATTCGACTCCCATAATGATATGCGCAAAGCACACGTAATAATGAAAACAACATGACAGAAGAAAGAAATGGCGAATGGGAGAAATCTACGATTGCATTCGCCACCAGGAAAGGAAAACCATATCAATTCGGCATGATTTAATGATCTTCATTACCTTTTTATCTACTCTGCAGACTTATACATGAAAGAAATGTGTGACAGTCTTGGTTGTTACCATATATTTTCGATATAATTGAATCAAACTCATTGTGTCACTACTGTTCCATATTTTTGCACACACTTATTCTGCTGATGTTGCCTCGTTTTTCGATCCACATCGCCACTGGTCTAAGGAAAGTTTTAGATCGCCTTAGTTTTCAAGAAAGTAATCTCCTTATCAAACCGGACACTCCAACGTCCTATACGGTTTCAAAAGACGTGTATTGTGCATTATTGTGGTGAGTCAATGTTTAAGATATGTTATCAAATGACTCAAAAGTGTCTATGATTAAAATTATGATGATGACATGCAACGTAAATACCTTTAATAATTGTTTATGTTTGATTTCTTATATCTTGTAGCTTGTACACCTGGGTACTACGGGCAAACTTGCATGGAAAATTGTGGTCAATGCTCAAGTGTGTCGTGTAATATTGCAGATGGAACATGTGATTGCAGTGATGGTTGGGAGGGAGACACATGCAATACAAGTAAATAAAAACAAATTATTGGATTGTAGAATCTACTACCACTTGTAGATTGATAATACATACTCAAGGTATAACGAATCGTAGGTTAAAGTTTGAAGATGATTCTAGGCAAGATGTCGAGTATAATGTTCAATATTTTTAATGTGAGAAATAAGATTAGTCCGTACAGGAGACACTGCAAAATCAACGATTTGTATCTGATTACTGATTAAGGAGTAATTGAAGGGAATTGAAAGAGACCTGTAATCTTAAATCGAAATGCACTGATTATGGGAGCTGGCCAGTCAATACCGGGCATGTCCCAAATTCGCTCTATGCACAGCCCAGATTCTACTAGGCATGGAATTCAAAAGTAAGCTTATCCTCCTCGTTGGGATGTTGGCCCATTTTTCCAAGAGGGCTGCTCTCAGTTAGAGAAACCTGTCTATCCGGCTGGTTCCAAAAGTGCTCAATAGGTGACAGGTCAGGGCTGTATGGCGCCCAGTCCAGTGGATGGATATTGACCATACGACGCTGGCTACAAACAGCTGTAAGGGGCAGACGAATAAATCTGTCCATACTTTGTGACGTCTCGCGCCACAGACGCCCAGACCTAGGTCTGCCAGCAATCCGTCGAGTTTCCTTTAGACGTATATCATGACGTTCTATAGAGCAAATATGGACACCGAAATGTCTTGCAACCTGTATTTGCCTTTGACCTTTAATCAGCCATGCCATTGTTTAATGCTATCAGAAATTAATCAAAATATCGGAAAATGATGTGACTCTATGAATACTACCTAATGGTATGACGAGCAGTGTAACTCAATGTCCTAACACTGCTGTGCAGGAGATTTTTTCGTTGTGAGCTTTCCCCGAAAGACATCATCACGCAATCAATAATGATGTAACATTTGATAGCGAACCACGTGCACTCTAACCTAGTTGCTTGACCGATTTTCATCGTTTTTGAACATCGCGTTCGCAAGATATTGCAAATAATGCCACCCTCCCTCCCCCACGTCTTTCCTCCCTTTTTCAGCACTCAAAGGTTTTCAGTTTCGAAAAGAGTTCTCTAAGTTGTATTGAAAATAATTTGTGAATTGCTTGGAAACTATATAACACATTTATATATTAGTTCGTTTACATTGGTATATTATGAACCGTCAAGTGAAATGTGTACAAAACGTTGCCAGAGAAGATATGTTAAAATTCATACCCTTATTTATGTTCATCAAGGTTTTATATCATGTCAGCCTTGCAAGTTGATAAGTCTTGATATGATAAATATTTCTATTAAATATCAGTATTCATCCAGTCACCAAGTTCAAACGATGACGATACAGAGTATAGTCAATAATCCGTCTCACTATTTTGTCAAAGATGACTGAAATGTTACATCTAACTTTTTCTTTTTCTGTGAATATGCATTGTTTTACACACATTTAAGGGAAGGCGGTGGTTGATACCCCACATAACAACACATGGACATACGTTGGAGGTGCTATAGGAGCTATCATAGCCATTGCTCTTCTTGTTGCAGTTTTCATTGTCCTTAAAAGGTAAATATTGATCCGTTAGACAACTTGCGTAGAAATCGCAAGTCATAGCGCGTTTTCTACCATCTTTGCGTGATTGTTATAATTCATAATTGAGATTGTTTATCTATCAAAGTCAAAGTGTTTCTGTTATCGTTACGAATTAATTAACTTAAGTGTTGTATAGATGCACTCGTATAATTTTGTGATGTCAAATTTTTAAACTTTGCTTTTAGAAGAAGGCAAGGAACATCGTACCAGAAAAATCCTCCAGAAATCGTCGACAACACATTTGACAAAGTTGAAATGACACCTGATATTGTTCCGAGACAATCCATGTACGATCATACCGCGGCCAGGCACACGGGTAAATTGTAACATATCTTATATTCATTTCTGTACCTCGGCCTTTCAGAACGGATACTACAATCAAGCTTGATGATGTGATAATTATAATCTACTTGTCATTACTATTTCATATCGAAACAAACTTTTGTCTTTCTTCATTCTCGCCAAAATATAGTTTATATTTAAAACACTGATCATGTATTCTCTATATATCATTTACATTAGTTCACGGTAGTGTAACCGATACCGGGTTGATTTCATAGGGAGTCCATTTTACAATTATTGTTTCGAGAGCTGTAACTAAACAAAAATATTGTTGCAACTCAACATTTTATTAAAAGTAAACATGGTCGATATTTGTATGAAACGTTGAGGAGTTTTATAGATGACGAAACAAATATTTAGCCTATTTAACAATTACAAGTCTCCGATAGAATGTTTCAATATTTACAGGAATGCGAATGCTGATGTATGTAAACTATCTTTATTCTGAAAACAATAATCGTGAGGCTACAGCATCAGCTCAAAATTTAAGCTCATATAATTGATATGGTGAATTTGACAACTTTAAATATATCTCTCGTAGTTCATGCAAGAAAACTACATTGTATATAGAAATAAATGTCCCAGCTGATCTTCGAATGTTCGTAAGGGATCATGACGACCAGGCTGTTAAGAGTTTCCTGCTTCTATCTGTATTACGACTTCATTTGGCTATTAACTAACCTTGTCATCATAGATATCTTTATATAACACATATATAGACTAAATATCAACAAACATTTGTTGCCGATTTTCTATTCTACACGAGTGCGACCATATTGTTACGTTATAAATACGTGTGACTGTGACCGCATAAAGCAGATATGATTTTTTTTTCAATATTATGTTTTCGTGTAAAAAGGAAATTTGTCTGGCGGTAAAACATCCTACTGACACTTTCAAAAGCACAGTTAACCAACATCGCTATTGAAGGAATAAAGCAGACAACAACTTTAAGTCTATTTCGGCGAGTAAATCCTGTACAATTTCCCCGTGTGGTTTAATAAACGTTAAGATTAGGATTGTGATACGCGTACTTATTCAGGTATTTCAGAATTCAAAAACGATTGAAATATTCAATTCTAATTATTCAAGTCCCCACGAAATGTTTTTGCAATTGTCATACAAATTAAACTTTTTTTCTGTAAATTATAACTAACTTACACGATACATTTGTCTTTCTATTTGCATATCATAAGCTGCTACGGATGAGAATGAAATTGCATATGCAAACGTGAAGGACACCGCCCCTAGAACAGAGGAGGAGGCCGCCTACCACAACTTTAAAGCTAAAGCTGCCTATATGTCTGTGCACGAATTGCAAGCTATAATCGACACGAAGATGGCGAACGGTGCGGCAGGTTTTCAGGAAGAATTTAAGGTTTGACGATTGTAAACGTCGCTGCATTCATTTGCAATTAGCTTTATTCCTAAAAAGTAAATTCCTGAATTAATCGAAATGATTATGCTAGGTTCAAACCATACACATTTTGTATGTTTTAATGGTGTTTTAGTTAGACACAAATATCACAAACTTAACCTTGTACATCATTGAGTCATTATACATGAACAATTTAATGGTTTAAGTATATTAAATAATAATGAACATAAAACTAATTCGATATTAGATTTGGTCTATTTAGCGACGGTTCCCTGTCTCCCTTGGCCACGGAAGAGATGTAGGAGTGACTTCTCCTGCACCCTGTTACTACATCTCATACTTCATTGCAACTTTGAGGCAGTTCCGGAAAGAAAATCACAATTAATTTTCTGGCACAACAAAGTCTCAAAACAATACAAGCACAACATTTGCTATGTCAGTGTTAAAAGAGTTCTTTCCAAAAAAAATATGGAAAATGGTGCATAGTAGATTGCGGATTGGCAATCTTGTCAAAGGAATTTTTCTTATTTATGTAGAGTCAATGTTGACATTTTCAATTTGATTCAAATTTAAGTTCATCTGTGTTTATATCTCTAAAAGACATGTTTCGGACTAGGTACTAACCCTTGGACTACGAACATGCCAAACATGCGGAGCAGTTCCTTCGTTAAATGGCCATAATGAAATCGTAGTATATTTGGAGAAATAACTTTCCATGTTTTAGATATGTAACGCAGAATGTCGGCCATTTGACTATGCCAAACCTGTGGAGCAGTTCCTTTGATAAATGGCCATAATGAAATTGTAGTCTATATGGAGAAATAACTTTTCGTTCTACATTTGTACTTGGAAATACATATTACAACTTTGACTGATACAATGGAAGTTTTCGTTCTTTCCACTTCTTAACTATGGAAGTGCTATAAACAAAATGATTCATTTTGATGGTTTTCGAAATCTGAGAAGTACCAAACTGAAAAGCACTAGCATTATAAATGAGGGGATCAACGTCAGTGATAAATTACATAGACTGCTGATATATCGCAGATGGTTAGCAAATGCCATTGATTCAGTGTACATGTACAGATATGTCTTAATTTGCCAAATTTTAAGTAGGGTTTTATGACAGCAGCAAACGTATTTTCTAAGTAAACAAATCATTAAGGAGGAGTGGGACATTTCTGTTTGTCTTTGTTTCTTTCAGACGTTCCCAACAGGAGCTGTATTTCCTCATGAGGAAGGCAAAAAGGCAGCTAATAAAACCAAAAACAGATTCAAGAACACTCTGCCATGTACGATTTTGTTACATAAGTAAATCGCTATTAAGCATATAAAGACATGTCCTATAAATTATATGGTTTAGAATTCGAGCGTTTTACTGTCAGGTCGGCGGAGCAGTGTAATTGATTTGACGCCAATTCAAGGTCTCAGATAGGTGTTATATCATTTTCGTTTTGAGATCAACAATGGAGAAACGTTCTCCCCTTCTTTGCAATCATGATATTTATATTTATGTTTTCATTGTATTGACAAAAAAAAAGAAGATTAAGATATTTTCACATGTTTTTTATTGGTGATATGGAAAAATATGTGACACTGCACCTTCACAATTGTAAATTAAGTAATCTTGGTATGGCGAATGATAAGGCTAATTTTAAATACAATGACTTCTTTTCAATATAAAGCACATAAAAAGATACCAAACAAACAGAAGCTGTTAGCATCAAAGTTGATTGGTCCATGAACGAGTGTGTGATGCTGATTGGTCTAGCATTTACGATAGCGCATAGAATTACGTTTTGAAGGTGTGTTTTAGACTCTATGTATATATCAATCAATCAATAAAATTACTTTTTAGGGGGGATTCATATATATTACCAATAAGATGATAGGTATTAAAATACAATGTTGCAGATGACCACTCCAGAGTTATACTCGGAAAAACCGATGGAGATGTCGATTATGCCTATATCAACGCAAATTACATCGATGTACGTATATTTATTGACTAGTTCATAATGTTGTTGTATACATTTATTTTTTTCGACATTTAATAGCTTTTATAAAACTATATTTGTCAAAATCAAACTTTACAATGTATCTAACGGTTGCATCATATATTCGCATGATCTTATATTACTTAATTGTTTTCAGGGTGTTGATAAACCAAACGTTTACATCGCAAGTCAAGGTAACTTTTATCATTTATCATTCTGTATAAAATAACACAATTGACTTTATTATTCTGTATAATTAACAATAATAATTGACTTTTTAACTTTGTATGGTGTAGTGTAAAAATGCATCTTTTTGATTCTATATTTTACTATTTACTGATTTTCCCTTGGTGTAAATATGTCTACTTTAGCAGAGATTTAGTTAATATAACATTGATGAAGCAAAACCTATTATTGTTCATTTAGCCAAGCCACTTGCGAGCTAAGATGAAACCCAAGCAAAAAAAAAAAAAGATAAAACCAAAGCACAAAACAAAGCTCTTAGCAATGGAAATGACTAAGACTCAGAAGATTCTAAAAAGCATGGAAACAGATTATTATAATAAAACAATATCTGAATTTGCAGTAGTCTCAATTCATATCTCTCTCGTTGGTGACGTCATTAGTCATATGACGTCACAAAACATCGACGCTTCAGTAGGAACAATATGATACCTAAGATAAATGCATATCTACTGAATCATAGTGCACGTGTGTGATAAGATAGATGTGTAATGGGTGTTATTGCACTGATAACAGAGAAACTTTGTGATGAAGTCATATTGTACGTGTATGTTTTGAAACTAAAGATTTACTAATCAACTGTCCTATTGACAAACTATATTGGTAACGTATAAAGGACCTAAGCCGCAAACCATAGACGATTTTTGGAGGATGGTTTGGCAGGTAGGCTCAGGAAAGATTGTGATGCTGACGAATCTTTTGGAGGGTCAAAAGGTAGCGTAAACAGTTTTCTTGTTATTTGATATATCGGTAATACGATTACACGCAATACTGTACGTAAAATCTTAAATCGGGGCCAATTATGTACAAAATACAAAGGGCTTGTGCCCAATTTCACATATTTAGTGCATGATGTCGGCAACTGACAGACCAACTCATATTGCAAGTTTTGAGATATGCATGTTGATTGAAGGGAAGGGGAATTTCAATGGTCGTCGTAATGAACTCATTGGACATCATATCCTTTCCTTATGTGATTAGATTTGATTTGGTAGAGGCTCATTAGTGAACCTATTAGTTAAATTGATGTTTACCGCGTTTTGATTTAGCAATGTGATATTGATATCTTTTCATATTTTCCTTGTACTTTTTCATGAATGTAAGTATGTCCTTAATTCTTTGAGTTGAAATTAGATAATGATTCTGTTGACTTGCATTTTCTTAGTTACTTTTGCATCATTCTCAGAACTCTTTTATTTTTTAAGAGGCCAGATCTTTTCCCAAATACCACAAACATATTATATGAAAATGAATTTGTTTAGTTTTTGTCTGCAGACAAAATGCCATAAATATTGGCCAGACGAAGGAGAGGCGCTTTCTATTAAGAACTTCGACCTCAAACTTGACAGAGAAAGAGAATATGCATTTTACGTTATTCGTGACGTTTCAGTTTTCAATAGAAAGGTAAAAGAACTCATACGCGTGTTCCTTGATTTTTTTTTATTTCAATGGTATATACATAGTCTAATTAAGACAAATGAATCTTTAATTCAAAGTAATAAACGTTTGTAATTAGAGCATTAAAGGTCAACTCATGCAAACTTCATTTCATGGTTCAACTTACAAGAAAAATCAAGAACGGCAAGTTCACCAGTTTCACTTTACGACGTGGCCAGACCACGGGACTCCCGATATCGTGGAGCTTGTGTTATTTCACCGCCGTGTGATGTCATACAAGACACAACTGACCGGCCAGATCGTTGTTCATTGCAGGTAAATGGAATAATTGTAATAGGTATGTTTCTACTTAAATATTGAATACAACATCACCATTGACATGTTAAGATCGTTCTTTCGTTCTTTCGTTCTTATATTCGCCTAAGACCCCTATTTTAACGTGTTAAGCTGTAAACCGACAAGATGTTCATATACCAAAGCTGTTATGAAAATTAATCGTCGCAAACATATCCAATTAATTTCACAATAAAGAAAGTGCTGTATTTTCGCCAATGTATCAGTTTATAGTGTCTTGAGTCCATTACCATGATTTATGGCAATGCAGTACGAAAGTCTTCAGTATCAGTATTTTTATGACAGTGCTGGTATCGGTAGGACGGGGACATTTATTGGTTTAGATGCATTGCTCACTCACTGGAAGAAAACTGGCGAGATGGACATTCCCAGATACCTCAACGTTATGAGGAACAATCGAATGGACATGATTCAAACAGACGTATGTATTGTTTTAAATTCTGAAATACATGTAATGCAAGCTATTTTAATATTTCGTGGACATTTTCTAATTGCCCTATATAATTAATTGTGATTTCTTTTCAGAAACAATACATCGCTTTACATGAACTGCTTTTGGAAGGATTCAATTTGCAAGAATCGTATATTTCTCGGACGAAATTCCCTGGTGCTCTTGAAACGCTTTGTCCAAAGAGAGAAAAACCGGCCAACCAGACAAAGATCTTCGACGAATTTGAGGTTTTGTATTTACTTTCCCATCTATGTATCATTTTCCTACAATGTCAAACTGTTCGATGAACATCATTTATTTTATTTTCTGCGAAAACAAAAAATAAAAACAACACAAAAAATTGCGTCATAAAAAATGTCAAAAACATAGCATGTTAATTGTTCCAGGCGTTACAGAAATGTAGCCCGAACCTAACTCCGGATTGCTATGTGGCAGCATTAAAGAAAGAAAACAAAGGCAAAAATCGTGATTTGGATGTGCTTGCTGGTACTGTATTTTCCAGATGAAGGGGTTAATGGTTTATGGCTTATTTAATGCTAACCTTGATCTATTCTTTAGTACTATTGTTCAACTAACTAGCGTTATTCTATTCTATTTTACTTTTATTGTACTTACTTATTAAAATTATAACTGAAAGTGGCCGCTCACATGTTTATCCGGTACTTTATAGGAGATATGTAAGTACCAAGTACGAAAGCCTTTTATTGATCTATATTAAAAGAATTGAACATGACGTATTTTATTGCATAAATGATCAAAAGTCCTGATCACAATAAGTTTTATCTTGAGTATGTGTACAATTATAAGGAATGAAATTTCGATTTCCGTTGTAGCGGACAGGTTCCGACCATTTCTGCAGTCGCAGTTATCTAATAGGACAGACTACATCAACGCAGTAATTATTCAGGTATTTCAAACTCCATTATTAAATGATAAGAATCGTAGAAAGTAGATTAAAACACCATTTACTATATATGTAAAACACAACACAAAAACATTTTTAAAATATTAAAAGAAATGAAGTCCAAACTGATCATTTGTAATTCCAGCATGTTTGTTGCCGAAATATATACATATACACCGACTTGCATGCAAACGATTTGTACATGTGCGTCTATATACATGACAAATGAAATTATATGCATTGCGGATGCAATGATATACCAGTGATTATATCATACGAACTGTTTGTACATGTTCAGAAATTTACTTTTTATATGCAAACAATGTAACACAAAAACTTGTTAAGAGTATTACATTGCTGGTAAGATGCATACCGATATATGTTTTCTTTCTCCAGTCGTATACATCAAAGTGTGGATATTTGATGACTCAGTTCCCTCTGGAAAATACAATCGACGATTTCTGGACAATGGTGTATGACTATGACTGCAAGAACGTCGTTGTGCTCGGACATCCGACGGTAGTTAGTTATCTAATGCGTGCTTTGCATTTTAATCCATATTCTTTCAAACTACTTATGAAGTAGGACTATGTGCTAAAGAGTTTTTTCACCTTCATAATGTGTAAGCAATACGTAAAATGTTGAAAGATTTTTTTTAAATCTATGAAGCTCGTTTCTGGATTAAAGCTTTTAATTACGAAATCAAAAGATTGCCAGTAGCAATGCAATATAATGCAGTTAAACTTATTTTTGGGTCTGGTGCTGATGTATTGTGTGTATTCTATTCAATCATTTTATATTGTGCAATGTAACAAATTCTAAAAATAAAATGTTAATTCTTAATCGACATCGACAGGAGAATTGGCTTGGGGACGAAACTTCCAAAACAAGAGCATTTTCAGTGAAAAAGGTGAAAGATTTATCCACCGAATCCGAGGTTATTGTAAATGATTATAAGGTTTTGCACGTGGTAAGTAGCTATCATTTTTATGTTAATATATTTCCGTAAAAAGTGTGTTTAGGAATTATCAAGTCATGTATCCATATACCGTCTTTTTTTTTTAATTACTCCGTTAATATGGATATATAATGAAATACATTGAATTTATTGAATTGTGAACAGTTATAGTTAGAACGTAAAAAAGGACGAATTATAAGACTACCTTATAAATCAATCAATATGATCATTGTCTATTCTTCGTACTCATAGTATCCGCTTATTGTTCTACTTTTGTGTAAATGGTGACTGATATTTATTAGCGGTCTAGTAGAACTACAACAGTTCGGATTTACGCTATTCCTCGGTGGGCATCAGACTCTCTGTTGCCGAACTCGGATGCAGCTCTCTTACAACTTCTAGAGCAGATGGACAGTCGCAGACGGTCAGACGATACTATACCTGTGGTCGTTATGTGTCGGTAAAAATTGTTATTTCTTCATAAACATTCAACCTACCACACCTTTTTCTGACTTTTCGATTTATTGCCATATCATGATATTACTGTATTTTAAAGACAAGACTTATAACGGTCCGTGAGTACCAAACTGATACATTATGTCATCATTATTCAAACATACTTTCATTCAGACATTGTGATATTTCAAGCATTTTCATTTCTAATGATCGTAATGAGCTTATTTCTTTATCACAATTCGAAGAAAGATCTTATCAATAACTGTCGTTATATAATCCTTTTTTGTTTTGAAGGGATGGATGTACACAGAGTGGACTGTTCTGTTGTGTTTCAAACGCCAGAGATCAAATGAAGATGGATGAGGAAGTCGATATATTTCAAACGGCACGACAGTTGAAAAGGCGACGACCAGAGGCTCTACGGAATGCGGTTGGTCAATTAAACAAACTCTTTTTAATGTTGAAAAGTGAAGCATCTAGTAACAGCGTCACTGTCTATAACATGTTAAACATTCGACTTCTAACATTACCGGCGCTGACGTTATCATATCAGGTGAATATTACCTACATGACGGATAATACCATTTTACTTACATTTTACATGTTTGCTAATGAATTTTAGAAAAATGCTTTAAGAGATAGAAATAGTTTTCCAGCGAAAAACCATGTGTTTACATTTTATGTTATATGATGAATTTGTTTCTTCTTTTTTGATTCAGAAGCAATATCAGTACTGCTACAACATCATAGGAAAATACCTGGAGTGCACTAACGTGTACGTAAACTGACCTCTTAACAGAAAACATAACGTTCTTGGATATCACGAACATGAGCATTAGTTTATCAGACTTCTATAACTGGAATATAATGTGCCACTAGAAGAGAGGAAATGTTCCTGGATTCCACGTGCATGACCATTGACTTATCAGACCTCTACCAATGGGATATATTGTGCCACTAGAAGAAAGGAAAGGTTCCTGGATTCCACATGCATGACCATTGACTTATCAGACCTCTACCTATTGGATATAATGTTCAGCTAGAAGAAAGGAAAGGTTCCTGACTTCCACGTACATGAACATTAGTTTATCAGACGTCTATAACTGGAATATAACGTTCCACTAGAAGAGAGGAAATGTTCCTGGATTCCACGTACATGAACATTAGTTTATCAGACGTCTATAACTGGAATATAATGTTCCACTAGAAGAGAGGAAATGTTCCTGGATTCCACGTACATGACCATTAGTTTATCAGACCTCTTTATCTGGACCTCTACCTATGGGATATAATGTTCCACTAGAAAAGAGGAAATGCTCCTGGATTCCACGTATATGACCAATGACTTATCATATCTCTATATCTGGAATATAATGTTCCACTAGAAGAGAGGAAACTTTTCGGGATTTCACTTACTGGTACATGTAATTGATTTCACATTTTTTTACAAAGAAGAATGTGTCATTAGAAGAAACGTTTCTGAATTTCACATGTGTGTACATTAACTCAACAGACATGTATCGAATGTGCCACCCAGACTAACGTTCCTGGGTTTCATCAATGTGTGTATTAACTTTAAAGACCTGTATATAATGAGTATAATGTGTAACTAGAGGAAACGCATGCGTGCATTAACTTCACTAACGTCTTTATATAGAACATGACGAGGCAATAGAGATATACTCTTGGACTTAAAGAACATGCGCAATAATTCAACAGATTGTATATAGAGTAAAACATATCACTAAATGAGTCGCTTCCAGATTCTGTGTTCAGAACTCATGTTCATCAACAGATTAGACCACATCACACCATATGAATTTAACCTGGAAGACACAACGTGGCTCTCATGGACGTGTATATATTAGCCGAACATAATTCTAAATGGTATATGTCACTTTGGATGAAACATGAACTGAATAGAATTCAACTTCGTATGTATGTAAAAAGTTACCATGGAGGACACAACGTCTGGATGAAGCATCACCTTATTAGGATGAGTGGATGGTCCTTGACGGGGATGTAAAATGAATTCCAAGAACGTTCGTATAAATTTAAAAACAATTGCATGTAAAACTCACTAACATGCAGGTCTTGTGCGAAAACATGCGCAGTGAAAGTTTAGAATTTTGTTATCGCTATCAGTAAAGCACGGTTAACAGGAAACATGACGAAGAAGAAGCTGGAAAAGTGTAGCGTTATCAAGGAGAAATCCACGATAACCCTATATTGTGTATGTTAATATATTTTTTTCCATTTAAGGATTATGATATGGTTAAAAAAACCTGTAGTCTTTTTACATAGTTTTTACCGAAGAGTATATATAGTATCATTTAAGTGTAAATTGATACACATGGAATCATACACATTTATTGTCAAATGTCAGATTCGAATTATTGCCTTATTAAAGATAATCTTTATGTAATAACTTCAAATAGCAATCTATCATTTCCTCTACAAAACACCTTTTATTAGATATCGTTGAATTACACATACGGTACACTGTACAATTTTTGAACACCAAGAAAATCAATGCACTGCTTATGATTACAAACTGATATACATGACAAAATATCGAACGCCACAACATGTCACATAGACCTAATGATTGATCACACATGGGTATATTACCTCTGTAGCAATAAGTGGGAAAAGAATGTACTTTCCGTGCGTAACAAAGCATCAACTTAATCGAGCCTGCCAAATGACAGCCATGTACTTTGTGCCCCTAACCCTTACTCATGAAACAGATAAAAGTCAACTTTCTGTCATGAGCCCTTTCTAGTTCATATAAAGATATTGCCTGATTACGATTTCTGCAAAACTGTTCAATCATGTCAGTCAGTTGATATACGCGGTTAACTGTTTAATGTACATGCATCATTGGTATCATCTGCACATCCATATGATCCATTACATTATATAGATTAGGTCTATGCAGTGATATTTTATGTACAGAAAAAAATAACGTTAAAAGACATTTGATATTTGTGGTCCTATAAAGTAGCTAATTTGTATTCATATCGTGTTTAAATAAATATTGGTAGTATGACAATAGAAATAGATATTATTGATATAAAACGTCTGTGTTAGTAGATGTTTATACAAGAAATATAACGGAAATGTTTTTTTACAAATATAATTTATAGAGTAAACAATACATAGACGTGTGTTAAAAAGTATCTTTTTATCGAGTAGAATTTTTTTTCTCATAATCGAGGATCAGAACTATCATTAGACATACCTTTCAATTGATTAAATTTACTGTTAGAACACAATAAAGAACAAATGGGATGTCAACATAATCTTATTTTGATCTCATATCTAATATCCAAACAAATATTTAAATCATCTAAAAAAATACAAGTAGAATAAGCCCAGATGTTCCGGAATGGTAACAGTCTTCGACAACATCCCCTATGGAAATCTTTGTCATTCTACGGAAATAAAGTTACACTTAAATCGGAAACAAATAAATAGGAAGGGAACCAATGTGCATAGCAATGCGCATCAAACACATAATCTTTAAACAGCATAAGGAAAAGATCATATCTCTGTCAGAACTTTGAATCAATTCCGTGATCTGCACCTGCACCTATGTCGATGAGTATATTGTCAGTAGTCAATATCTTGCACGAAAATTATGATTTTGCGAACAAATTCCTGAACTGTTCAACTCCTTATGTTTTCTAAAAGTAAAAAAAATATATTGTCCTTGATTTTGAATGTTTGGCTGCTGTTCAAAGACAGTACATCACCAACATATCTAAAAGCAAAAAAAAAGAATTACTTTTCTGTGATAAAATACAGCCTGGTATGAAAACAGAAAATTTGGTATAAACTTGATTAAACGATTTTTGCGATAACATTAATGTGCTTCCGTGTATGAAATGTTGTCTTCGGAAGACATGATCACGCAATAAAATAACGCAACATTCGATACATGACCCTGTGTACTGTTACCTTGAGAGTTGCGTGACCAATTTTCATTGTTTTTGAACATTTCTTTATACTGTGAGTATAGTTCAAATGAGTGTAGGGAGAACTGATTTGTGAGGAATAAAGGAAGATTATGGTTCAGACCAGTGTGGGTAGAACTCTGGTCGCACAAGGGACAAACTGAACATAGTTCAAACGAGTGTAGATTGAACTGATGTGTTAGGACGAAAGAATGAACATTATTCACACATATACAGGTAGTAACTGAGGTTTATGGATATGGTACGAACATAGTCAAAGCCATATACTAGCACTGATGTGATTAGAAATGGTAATGACATGTGTATCATTGCACAGCAATCAATATAAATGAATGAAAATTGAAATTTAACTTTAACCAGTTCCATAAATCAGATTATTAGAATACATAGTGTTTCTGTGGATTAATCTTTACACACTATACACCCCTACTTGTACTCTTCACATTAGCTATCTTCACATGAAAAAATAAAATGGTATAAAACACAAAATACTGATATCATACCACATAGCTATATACCATATCCTTATCAAGGCCTTTGACATGCCAGATACACTGAAAGTACCTTCCAACTTTTTGCAATCTGACATCTGGTGAGACTGTCAGTTAAACAAAGCTGCGGATGGAGTAACTGGTAAATTGATCAAACCATGTCAAAGTATACCAGTGTATCTTTCCATGTTACGGGCTGGTGATCGATACATGAATCTGATTATAAAGTATTTTATATTATGTGTAAATTGTGCGCTTTATTGCATGAAACATCTTATCACACTTATGACGTGGTCTGTTGTGATGTACCATTTAAACATTAAACAGTTTTTACATATTACACAATACACAATATACAAGAGAAACCACACAAAAACATATACCCACACTCTCACACTTGTGTGCTCTTACTTGAATATGTCTTGCACATATACATACATCATCATCATCATCATCATCATCATCATCATCTTTAACATCATGCACATGTATCTACTACTTACTGCACACAAACTCACTCATCAACATTCACACACACTTACACTCACATAGCAAACTTACATGTACTTAACAAAATACTCACACACACACACACACACATACAATATCATATCACTTACACTTATCAAAGATATTTTCTCACACACACATACTCACTCATGAATACATTTATATATATATAAAAAAACATTTTACATCCTAAACAAAAAAAGAGAGAGAGGGAGAGAGGAGTAAGAGAGAGAGAGGGAAAGAGAGAGGGGGGGAAAGAGAGAGAGAATTGGGAGGGTTATAATCATTATTAAATAAAAATAGCACTAATTTTGTGGAAATACAATAAATTTAAAGTCAGTTTGGTAAAGTCAAGGCCATGGCCATTGGGAACAGACTTGTTAGCATACATACTATAGTTCCAAAATGGGCATCCATTTTTTCCAATTATTCTCAAAACTTGTTTTCATAATTGTGTTTTTGCTGAAAATGTTGTACTTTTGAACATGGAAATGATCCTTATCTTATTTATAAGGGCATTTAAATTAAGAGATTTTTGTAGACATCTTGACATATAAACATAGTGTTTAATGAGAATTAAAATTTCGTTATCTACAGTGTTAGCATTAGGATGGATAATTCCAAATAAATATGTTTCTTTGTTTATCCAAAAAGGAATCAGAAGAATATCAAGAAGAGATTGAAATCTCTCCAATAGAGTCTGTACCTCTATACACTCCCATAGACAATGAACGATAGTTTCTCTTTCCATATTACATAGTGTACATAAAGGGCTAGGTATTAAATTAATACTGAAAAGAAAGGAGT